ATATATGTGATATATGTTTGATAGACATATGATATAGAACTGATTTACTTCTGTTATAACTATGATATCTACAAATTATTTCAAATATATTACCTCTAATATGTTTCTTAATATACTACTAATATATCAAMTAAATTTTTTTCARATGAAARCAATGGTCCAAATAAGGAAAATGAAAACTAAAGTCATTGTAGAAATKGTTGATGTCGTGCGTYCCAAAAGACAGCATAAACCAACTCCAAAGGTGTTGTCTATGGAAAAACGAAAAGCTGCAAAAATATCATCTCCTAAGACGCGACAATCACCGGGAACGAAAATTGATCATATTGTCCAAGCTTTGACTTGAAGATTACTCAAGGATGAAGAAAGAAAACTTTTGGAACTTGTGCTTTTGGAACTTGCTTCTACTTTTCTAGACTTTTGGAACTCATACTTCTACTTTTATAGACTTTACATTGTCARTCTACTTTGTGTTTATGAATATGACAATCTACTCATGTTTAGATTACAAGACAATATCTTAAAGGTTTTAAATGATATGCCAATTTTTTTGGGAYAATATTCTTTTGATATGAATATCTTTGAGTTCATTTTGATGTTTAAACCTTTAACTTTTTGAGTTCMTAGTGATATTACTTCTCCTTGATACATCTTAGTTGGCTATTGCAATACTTAGTTATCGCTCCAAGGTGCTAAAACTTTAAATCAAATTTAATTGTACTACTGATATATGTACGATGTATACTTGATATATTACTRATATATTACWGATATACAGATTTACTAYTGATATAATTCTGATATACAGACTAATGTAATGCTCTAAATTATGTCATCAACTTTAACTTACAAAAGCAAAATCATATAACCAAACTCCATTGGRTATACACATTGTTTTGTAACAAAGAGACTACTTCATTGTAAATTCAAATCATAAAAGTAATGTTTGGGTATACATCCTTGATATACATCATTGTTCAATAGGTGCAAATTTACAAGTTCTACGATTGTGTCYAACATGTTGACAACGTCCACATTTTGTGTGCTTTCTCACCTCACCAATTGAAGGAATCCTTTGTTTTCGAGGCCTTCYWGCTGGACATTTAATGATRGGAGGTAATACAATAAAATCAATTGCTACRGATCCCYAATCCAAATGGTTACCAACAGGACGAATTGAACCATTATAAGTAAATAACAATCTACTAAAGGATATCTTGTGYTGTCATCCTTTCATCTTTATCTTCATTAATCTCAACAACARTTTGAACTCCATTACTACCAAACTTTAATAAAACTRAAAATTGGACAAAACAAATTGATGGATCCAACCTCACTTCATTCAATATCAAATTCCTAAAATTCTGAAAATTCATACTTTCGTCAACCAAAATCCCAATAGTTTTGWAATTCATATAGMAGTGACTATTATCCCATTCACCACTGTGAAAAACAATTATTGCAAGCTTGCCCATAACTACAAATACTGTAAAAATATAAAATATTGATGATATTAGTACATCAATCAACAAATAACATMAAATAAATAGCAATGATAAAATATATCAGTTAATATAAGCAGCTGATATACCATATATTGAGTATATCAGTTGCAGATATACCCTATATTTAATATCTATATTGAGTATATCAGTTATAGATATACCTAAAATATCAGTGTGATATACCTCATTGATATACTTCATTCAATGGAAGTATATCAGTGTGATATATCTCACTGATTTAGGTGATATACCTCACCTAAAATTCACGYAGGTTCTCCACAATCTTAATGGTGATCCTTGGCCCGAAATTWGACACCAATAACGCCTAAAACAGTTTCAAGGCTACGATTAATCATAGTTTTCYATTGGCTAACGAGTGATTTTTYGAAAGGCTTTTGTATTAAAAGAACTACCTATATTAATASRTAAAGCCAGAARACAAAAAATTCGAGCCACAGAATTTCTCTGTTCTATAGTTTTTCAAGCTTAAATTCAAGCACAGAAACCAAGACCTYRGAACAGTTCATGAAAAGAGWGAAACGTAAACTAAAATCCAATTTCACCTCGTTTCAATCCACATTCTGGAAAAGAAAGCCGAAAGAAAATTGTGGATTAATCASGACAAATTTGAGCATAAACAATCCAATAATTTCTGGACAGTGACTATTATCCTKGCTGGAACGAAAGATAATAMAGAAAAATAACAAAAGGCCTACCTTTTYGAGTTCACAAACACTACATAAAAATYGAAAGAAGAAGAAGAAGCTTCACGAACACTGAAACCARAGCTCAAAACGAACAAAATCGAAGAAAAATCTGCTTAAAAAACAAACAGAAAAATCGAAAGAAGAAGAAGAACTAAAATTGAAAGAAGAAGAACATAAAAGTAGGAAGCTAAAATCGAAAGAAGAAGAAGAAGAATAAATACTTGAAGAAGATGATGAAGAAATAATCGATGTAACGAAGAAGACAATGATGCGAGAGAGAACGAAGAAAATCTCAATAATTGCGTGTGAGATATGAGGAGGGCAATTTGAGAATACTCAAATATTCAAAATCAGAATCGTACAAAAATTGCTATATTTGAAATTTTGATAACCGGATGCCATATTGTTAAATACATAAAACTTATTTGCCACCCAATGTAATTACCCTAAAAAAAAGTAATAAGATAAAAATAAAATCTTGTTATTCCCTAGAATCTAGGTAGGTAAAATCCATGTCATATCAATAATCCATAACTATAAGGAGATCTTATCGGATCAAGAACAACACCTAGAACCAAGTTTATCACAAGGAAATGACGCATTAAAATCCTGAAAACCATGACAATTTTAGGACTAAAGAATTACCAATAAGACCAGACTTACCTCTAATTTTTGCATCTGATTTTAAAATCCACTTATTTGGGAGAGGCTAAATATATATTTTAACATATCTTTTCGATTTAGTCTCTATTATTTAAAAAAATTTCAATTTAGTACCTCATATTTCAACTATTTTCAATATAATCTCTTACTGTGGGTTATTTTAAAATTGACTGATGACAAACTTGTATGATTTAACATTTAGTGAATTTACAGAAGAGGAAAAATGTAGGTAAAAAAGAGGAAACTTTCTCATTTCTCCAAATTTGTAAAAAATTTCTGTGTTTTTCCTCTTAACATTGTTCTCATCTAAATTTCGGCAAAGTCACTGAATATTGTGGAGGTAGATTTATCATCAATCAATTTTAATATTTTTCCAACGAAAACATTAAATTAAAAATCACTGAAACTCTTTAAAATTGAAAAAGGACATAAACAGTAGGACTAAAACCCATATTTTATATTTAGTTTTCCAAAAATATAAAATATGTTTATGCCAAAATCCATCTTTAGGTTGGTCAAAATTGAAAATACCGTCAAGAATATGTCTTCAATTTTTTTAAGAAAGCTACGAAAATCGAAACTAAGAAATAGACGAAGAGAAAGAAAACTGAAAAATTCAACTTAAAAGTAGGTTATTTGAACAAACTTACAATTTTTTTAGGTTCAATTTCCCTTCTTCACCGTCTCTCCACTCTATTCTTTGTTTTTAATCGCGAAGAGGAGCAATAAGAAGAAGCCATGGCAACTTCAATTCCATTGGACCCATGTGATATCTTACGAAAGCCCATTTCTTTAAATCATTTCTTGGGTTGGTTGGTCCAACTGAACCAACCCTGATTACTGATACACCCACATATATAAGCATCTTATTGAAGAAGACTCCAAGAGAGAGAAAAAGGTCTGAGTTTTACTTGTCTTGGAGGCTACTTCATCTTCCTCGCGTTCTGCCGATAGATTTCAAAGAGGGAGGCAGATTTGGTGATCTCCGGCATCGGTGGTAAGATCTTTGTTTTTTTTTCCTCTTCGATTTTCCAGATCCGATATCGCTGTACCGATTCTATTCTTGACTAGTAAAAATCTCGCGATCCTTGCAAGTGATCTCTAGTAAGCAAAAATCTCGCAATTCAAGTGGAGTAGGTCGTTGAGACCCTGTAATTTTTTCTGGGAATAAACAACTTATTTCAGTGCTGAGAATTTTAATATAAATTTAAAATCGCCCATTAGACTCGATGATTAAAATTACAGCCAGGTTGAATTGAATGCGCTCAATTTTTGAAATATGAAGCAGAAAAGAAGAAAAGGACATTGGTAAAAGTTGAGAGGGTGAAGAAGAAAAAGCCATGGCAAGTTCAATTCCTTCCTACGAAACCTCAGAGTCAATCTCCATTGGGGCAGTGATTAAAGCCGTGCAAGCATTACCAGACATGGACGAAGACTTCATATTAGACGCATGTGATTTCTTACAGAACCCACAGAATGGCGAAATATTCATGGCCTTGGCCCCCAAGCTACGAAAAAGATGGCTATTAAGAAATCTACCTCGACCCGGCCAGGTTTTATCATCATTCAATTATTAAGCATTGATTAATCATATATATATATATATATAGATATTTCTGTTTTGTTTAAGAGTAGTTGAAAATATGGCAGATGAAGATAAATTTTCAAACTGTGTGTGGGAAGAGATTTGGTTTAGAGGTTTTAGCGTCGGACACAGTAGAAGTGGTGAAGGCTAAAATAGAAGGGAAGGAAGGGTATCCTCCGGAGAAGCAGCGGCTGTTTTATGGCGGTGTACAGCTTGAGGGCGCCACAACTCTAGCGGAATGCCGTGTCACCCCTGGCTCTGAATTGAAAATCATTCTTCCAAAGTGTGGTGGCCATTAACGCTCTAGCTCTTTGTTACTTTACTTTCAATATTTTTGTGTGTATTTAAAAAGTGTGATTATCTTCTGTAAAATCCTAACGACTGCCTAATTGTGTTACTTTATGGATGTTGTTGAGTCCAATGAGAAAATATAGAGGATGATTCCATGACATAGGTTGAATTTGAAAGATAAAATTGGACTAGTTGTAGTTGGGTTGATAGAGCCTAATATTTGGTCCAAACCATCTGATCTACACCAACAGTTAATTTCTGTTGCGTCGTACTCAAATTTTGTATAAAACAAAAATCGTTCTATAAAAAGTTTAGAACAATCTGCCGGGAAATCTATTGGTTGTATTATTGAATTAATTTTGAGTACTAAATCATTCTTTTTTCAAAGTGGGAACCAAAATGGAAGGGTTGATGGTATACTTCCCTAATAAAAATGGAAAAAAGATCAAAAGATGAGCATGTGAGGACGACCTAAAAAAAGTGATGGAACTGAGGGAATATTAATCTTTTTCATATGCTTTAGGCAAAATGTATCATATTTTTCATATAATCTAAAGCAAAACATACCATAATTTCCCTCCTCTTATTTCTTGAGAATTTTGATTTATATAATTAAGGTGGAATATCCCATCATCCCATTAAATAATAATGTAGTTTAACTAATTTAGGGGGTGTTTGAGAGTGATGGTGGAATGAATGATTTTTAAAAAAGATATTTAATAATAATTGATTTTCCAAAATTACAACTCAAGTGATACTTTAAAAATCAATGTAATATGAGTAACTTATAAAAATGTCGATGAAAATAATTTGAATGAGTAAATTATTGAATTTCATATGAAATATTCATATATACACACATATACATATATACATATAATGATTAAATTGAGTTATTAGAAATGGAAAGATATGTTTGAAAATTTGTAATTAGATTTGAAAAGAAAAATAGGTGTAATGTAAAAAAATCAACCATTGGATGGGTTAATAATCCAATTGAAATAAATAAATAAATTGAAATAATAATAATAATAATATTATTATTATTATAAAAAATAAAGAAATAAAGAAAAAAAAAGTAAAGCAAGTGCTCCGCTCCCACAGTCCCACTTTTTTTACGATATGTCGATATATATCGTCGAAATAAAAATTTTTCCTAATGTATCAATGTCGAGCTGTCGACCATTCTAAAACTCTGATCTTTGATTTAACGTTTTCCTAAAATTAATTTTTAATTTGCCAAACATGATCTGATGCGAAAGGAATTCAAGCTGCAGACCAATAGAAGGGCAAATAGCAACCATGTCATCCTCTCTGAAATCGGCCAATACAAATCTTTATCAATGTTACTCAACTCTGACTCTCTCTTAGAGGGTTGAATTCGTCATTTAGAACCCTTATTGTTACCCCCATAACAAATAGGTTCTTCTAGTAACGTCGATACAATGATATTAGAATATCTGAGATAAAAAAATATTTTTCTGTGTATATTCATTAATAATAAAATACACATATATATAGACACATGTAGTCCAATTAACTCACCATAAAAACAAAAAAAGATACAAGGACTAATAAACTTATTTACATCTAATACTCCCCCTCAAGATGGGGCATAAATGTCCAGACAACCCATCTTGGAAAGTAGAGAGAAAAAAGAAGTGGGTGGAAGAGCTTTGGTGAAGACATCAACTAACTGAAGATGAGAGCGTACGGGCAGAAGTTTAATGAAGCCATCAGTAAGTTTCTCACGAATGAAATGACAATCCAACTCAATGTGTTTGGTGCGTTCATGAAAGGTTGGATTTGATGCAATGTGAACAACGCCCTGATTATCACAAAACAAAAGTGCAGGCGGCAAAAAAGGAACTTGAAGATCAGCCAACAAATAGGAAAGCCAAAGCAACTCACAAGCAGTCAAAGCAAGAGCCCGGTATTCAGCTTCGGCTGAAGAACGTGAAATAGTAGTATGCTTCTTAGATTTCCAGGAAACTAAAGAGTCTCCAAGAAAAATGCAAAAACCAGTAGTTGAGCGACGAGTATCAAGACAAGAAGCCCAATCAGAGTCGGCAAATGCTCTTAGTTGAAACGAAGAAGAGGTAGAAAGAAAAATTCCTTGTCACGGATTGGACTTCAAATATCGCAACAAGTGATACACTGCTGCTAAATGAGACTTACAAGGACGAGAGACAAACTGGCTCAATTTATTAATAGCAAAGGCAATGTCCGGGTGAGAAATAGTCAGATATAGTAATCGGCCGATCAAACGACGATATTCGGAAGGATCAGTCAATAAATCTTCATCAGAAAATTTCAATTTCAACAACGGATCCATGGGAACCAGAGCTGGCTTACAAGCAAGAAAACCGACATCTTCAAGTAGTTGCAGAGTATAATATCGTTGAGAAACAACAATGCCATGAGAAGACCGTGCAAGCTTAAGATCAAGAAAATATTTAAGAGATCCCAAATCTTTGAGCTTAAAACGATCGTTGAGAAGAGTCTTTAAATGCTCAATACCAGTCAAAGAGGCACCAGTAATGATAATATCGTCTACATATACTAACAAGGCAATAAACTCACTACCAGATCCGCGAATAAATAATGAATAATCTGATTTGGATTGAGAAAAACCAAGAGAAAGTAACACATCAGAGAATTTTGAAAACCATTGACGTGAAGCCTGCTTTAATCCATAAAGAGATTTGTGAAGCCGACACACCAGTTTCTCCCCCTTACCAGAAACGACACCCTTTGGAGAATAACCCAAAGGTAAATCCATATAAACCTCTTCAAGTAAATCGCCATGAAGGAAGGCGTTGTTGACATCCAACTGAAAAAGGGGCCACTTAGAAGAAACAGCAAGTGTAAGAAGAACACAAACAGTGACAAGCTTGGCAACTGGAGAAAAAGTTTCGAGAAAATCGAGGCCCTCCTATTGAGTGTAGCCTTTTGCAACCAGTCGTGCTTTGTATCTCTTAATGGACCCATCGGCATGATGCTTAACTTTATAAATCCATTTGCAACCAATGGAATGTTTATTGGGAGGTAAAGGAACAACACTCCAAGTATTATTAACCTCTAGAGCCTGCAACTCGGTAGCCATAGCATCCTTCCAATGATCAAAAGAAACGACCTGATGATAATACTGAGGTTCATAATGCTCGGAAGAAAGGTGAATGGTGAAGGTCCGAAAAGAAGGTGAAAGTCGAGAGTAACAAAGGTAAGAAAGAAGAGGATATTTAGTAGCAGGGATAAGAAAAGGAGAGTTGGAAATAAGATGGCAGTGATAGTTTCTAAGAAAAGAAGGAAATTTGATGGGACGTGTAGATCGACGAAGAGGTACAAGATTGGTTTGGGTTGGAATGATTACTTGTTGGTTTAAAGGTGGAGATGTAGGTGTAAGATGTGTAGGAGTAGGAGGAGATAAGATAGGACTAGATAATTGGTCAATGGAAGGACCAACGGGTAAAGGAGATGGTGGGTCAAGAGATGGACTAGTGGGTAAAGGAGATGGTGGGTCAAGGGATGGACTAGAGGGTAAAGGAGATGAATTGGTTACATCAGAATTAATGGAAGAATAGTCATGAAGAGTATTGGGTAAGACAAAACTAGAAAGGAAATCAAGCATAGAGGATTCATCAGAGACCGTGTGAAAAGAAAATATATTTTCATGAAATATGACATCCCAAGAGATAAACATCTTTTGATTAGCAATATCATATAGGCGAAAAGCCTTCATCCCAGGTGGATAACCCAAAAAAACTGCAGGTATGGCTCTAGGATCAAATTTTGATCTCGAAGAAGAGAGACTAGATGCAAAACAGAGGCACCCAAATATTCGTAATTGAGAATAATCAGCCGAAGATCCATTAAGAAGCTCAAATGGAGTATGCCATTCCAAAAGAGGAGAAGGAGTCCGGTTGATAAGATGCACAACAGTGAGAATGCACTCACTCCAAAAACGAAGAGGAACTCGCGAATGGAAATACAAAGCACGAGCCACATTTAAAAGATGTTGGTGTTTCCTTTCAACCACAGAATTTTGCTCAGGACGACCAACACAAGAGAATTGATGAATGACACCCTTAGAACAAAAAAACTCCTAAAAAACTAATTCGGGAGCATTATCAGACCGAAACACTTTGATATGTTTGTTATATTGGGTCTCAACCAGCTTAAAAAATTGAGGTACAATCACAGAAACATCAGATTTTCGTCTCAACAGATATATCCATGTGTATCGAGTACAATCATCTACTATGTAAGAAAGGACTTATAACCAGCATGAGATGTAGTACCAAAAGGCCCCCATATGTCAACATGAACAATATCGAAGGTAGAAACAACAAGATTATTCTTAGAAATAAAAGACGATCTTTTCTGCTTAGCTAAGGAACATATATCACAAAACTCATGCTTATCAAGTTTAGTAGAATCACAATGCAAAACAGATTTCACCAATGCATGAAGGCGAGTACAAGAAGGGTGTCCAAGCCTGGCATGCCATAAAGAGGCTGGAAAAATATGAGCAGCAACGCCACATGGATGGGCAGAATGATCCACAGCACCGGATCAAAAGTATCCAAAATGTAAAGGCCATCATGAAGCCTACCCTTGCCAATCGTCCTGAAAGTGGACTTTTCCTGAATATGACAACCATCAACCGAGAAGAAGACAGAAACAGAATCATCTGACGTTAACGCACTGATTGATAATAAGTTGTATTGGAATTGAGGAACGAATAACACATGCTGAAGAAGAAGAGTTCCAAATAAACGAACTGTTCCAGCAAAATGAACCTCAATATGTGTACTGTTAGGTAAAGTAACCGAATAACGTATTGGAGAAAGGGACTCAAAAGCCATCCGATCAAAACAGATATGTATAGATGCACCAGAATCAAGGAGCCACTGATTAGAATAAGGAGGCAACAACTGGACATTAGGACATGTACCTGCCAAATAAGGAGAAGCCTCAGAATCAGTCTTGGCAGCATTCAGTTGAGACTGGAGCATATTGAGAATGTTGTGACACTGAGAGAACGCATCAGAAGTCATTGGTGAAATAAGGGATGAAGAGGCAGACGTYTGGGAGATCGAATTCACAATAGCAGTCGAAGGTGAATTAGAAGCAGGAGAGGAACTCGTGGTACTAGACACAGATGAAGTCATCGATGGAGTCGATGAATGTTGGTTGCCTTTGGAACGATAGCCAGATGGAAAGCCATGAAGACGATAGCATTTATCAACCGTATGTCCTCGAATGCCGCAATTAGTGCAATAAGGACAACTAGAATTGCGCTGTCGAGATCCAGAATTCGAAGCAGATGATGAACGTGACTGATTTACAGCAAGGCCAACAGCAGGCGATGGTGTGGAGAACAGAGGAATGACTCTCTGTTGTTCTTCTTGAGAAATCAGAGAGAAAGCTTTGCCAATTGAGGGAGGAGGATCCATGAGAAGAATTTGTGCCCTAATGTGAGCAAAAGACTCATTTAGTCCCATCAGAAATTTCATGAGATGCTCGAATTGCACAAATTTCTCAACTAATCGATAACCTCCACAAGAACAGGAACCACAAGTACAACCTGGCCGATAAGAAACATACTCATCCCATAGTGCTTTGAGTTTCGTATAATACATGGTAACAGAAAGTTGATCCTGAGTGAGAGTAGCAAGATCACGTCGAAGTTGAAAAATCTGAGGTCCATTCTGTAGCTGAAAACGATCCTTCAAGTCCAACCAGATCTCATGAGTGGAATTAGTAAAAATTAAACTCGCAGAAATCGGCTTCGAAACCGAATTGAGGAACCAGGCGATGACAACGTGTTTGTTGCGAATCCATACCGGAAGAAGGTCACCAGCCGGTTTCGGAAGAGATCCGTTGATGAAACCAAGCTTGTTCTTGATGGAAAGAGCAATGGTCATGGAACGACTCCATGAGACATAATTGCTATTAGTAAGAGGTTTAGAAACAAGAACCAAATTGGAGGTATCGTTGTGATGCATAAAATACGGACTGGAAGAAGAATTTTCAGAAGGACGCAATTGCGAAGAAGAATCGATGAGAGGTACAGTAATGGTGGGATCCAAGATTGTATCGGTGGGAGGCGCGGTTCCAAGGTTGTATCCATGGAAAAATCAAGAAAGCCAAGAAAACAAAAAACGGAAGAGAGAGATTTTACTCAACTGATACCATATTAGAATATCTGAGATAAAAAAATATTCTTCTGTGTATCTTCATTAATAATAAAATATACATATATATAGACACATGTAGTCCAATTAACTCACCATAAAAACAAAAAAAGATACAATGACTAATAAACTTATTTACATCTAATAAATGATTATTTTCTTTGGATTGAAAAAACATCGAATCGTAGAGAAGACATCGCAGAAATCTACAAAGTTGATGAAAAAGGACGAAAATGTTGTATTATGATACCGGAGGGCTTTGAAAGAACCGGTTGGAAAATTTTCCACAACATGATTACACTTAGCCATGTGCGGCCTCAACAAACAAAGGGACAACTCATCAAAAGGGAGAGCAGAGCAAAATCGATTTCTTATGATACTACATCTTCCCACGCTCTTATCTGGATGCCCTCTCTTCCCCTTCAAATTCGATTGTCTCACAATCAGCTTCAGATGAAGCTTCACCAAACAACAACATAAATGGGTTAATCGAAGAACACTCCCATCAATTGGAACAACACCGTCATCCTCACACGCCGTTGCTTCCACTACGACTGGGTCAAGATCATAGAAGCCCTAAATGAAATCTCCTTTGGGAGGGCTGTCAAAACGATAAAAGTGCTCACTTAGTGCGTTGGGATCATGTTTCATTGCCTAAAGTCTGTGGTGGCTTGGATATTGGCAATATTGAATACACCAACTCGACTCTTCTTAGTAAATGGATCTGGCGTTTTCTCATTGAAAAAGATAGTCTCTGGGCTTCACTGATTACGACTAAATACACACAACAAGACTCTTCGATTTGTTGCCTACACATAGCAAATTTGGTAGCTCCAAATCCCCGTGGTATCATATTTTAAAATTAAAGGATATATTCTGCAACAATCTCATTTGGCAAATGGGTAGTGGCTGTGAGATTCTTTTTTGGCATCATAACTGGGACTGGTGATAAGACTTGATTAAAGGCTAAAAATAGTAGTTTTACATGCTTAGTTGGGAGTTAATTATGATGAAAAATGTATGTTCAAGCATATAATTTAGGGAAAATGTGCATAATTTGTGATTAGAGACTTTGGAATTCAGTTATAGCTAAATGAAGACTAGTTTGTGTAAATATGCTTATTTTGTAAGGAAAAGTGGAGATTGATGATCAAAATGCGTCAGACATATTGCAGGACCAGAATTTCTAGCTTACTAGAGGAATGAGCCAGCCAAGTTACTTTGAAAGTTCCAGCTTCACAATGCTTTAGCCACATTTGATGCCTAGATTGTCAAAATGGGAATAACAACTTTTGACCAAGTAATTGGTCCAAGATTTGTTATTAGTTCCTAAAATCTTTACAACCTCATATGGTTCCAACCTCCCATGCAATTCTCAACATCTTGTTACCTCCATGGCCTATAAAAGGGCTCCCAAGCATCACTTCAACACATCTCATTTTCCATGCTTTTGTTTTCCTTTCTACTTTAGTTTTGTAGTTTTTATTTAAGTTTTATTTTCAATTATTTTTCTACAATTACTTTTGTTTATTTTATTGCAATTCAATTTGTTCCATTTTGTACTTTCTTTCCAATTCTAATTAAAATGTTTTCTTCTCTTGTGTTTTAATTTCTTTCAGTTCCATGAGTAGGTAAATTGTTTCTTCAACCCTCCTACGAATGATTTAGTTCTTATCACTACAAATTACATCTATCAGTGAGCACGACATATTACACTCTCTTTTGCTTATCTTGATAGATCTAATTTATCCAGTTGATTTTCTTGTTGGTCACTTGTTTAAATCACATTAGTTTGAATTTAATTCTGAAAAGGTTTGAGTCAAACAGATCTCATCAAGGTAAAACGGGAAGTTACTTAGAAATAAGAACTAAAACAAGATCCTAGACATAAGCTCTCTTACCAATTAAACGTAAGTTGACACTTGATTTATTTAGGATTCTAGAGTTGCATAGACATATGTAAACACTAGCTTAAGCTTCTAAACAAACCAAAAGGGAGTTGAACCAGTTTGCATAAATTGAGTTTAATTACGGGCACATTTGATAGGTGTAATTCATCTTTTAGAACTAAATCTTAGTAGGGTGGTTGGCCTTTTAATTTTCGTGTTTCTAATTCGTGTTCCTAACAATTTCACCAATTTTTATTTCCAAACTCGATTGCTCATTCAAGCAGTTTACAAAATCAATTTTAAAAGAAAACTAGTCCCTGTGGAGACGAACTTGGAATATTTCCAGATGATTACTTGTGATAGTGTGCACTTGCACTTACCCTCTAGCTATTAAGCAGAGGCGCAATAACTGGAAATGGCTCATTATATCAACTCCTTCCCCGATTCTATGCTTTATCAACTAGAAAAGATATGACAGTCTGTGAAGCTTGGGATATGAACTTTGGTTGTTGGAATTTCGCTCCGAGAGGGAACATGCATAATGGTCTCTCCGATCCTCTACTTTTCTCGTTCCGGCAAATTTTCGCGGGAAAGATTCTCCCAAATGGACTATTTCCACTGATGGTTTTTTTTTCAGTGAAGTTAGTTAAAGGCTGCCTTAGGCCCACGATTATCTCTCATCCCCACCACCACAACTTCTTCTCCACCTTATGGGATTTACTCATCCCCAAGAAAGTGTAAATTTTTTTTTGTTGTGTATTCTTCATCCAGCTCTAAATTAAACACACAGGACAAGCTTCAGAATCGTCTTCCACATTTATACATCAGTCCCAGTTGGTGTCCACTATGCAAATCGGCACCAGAAACTTTGGACCATATTTTCCTTCATTGCCCTTTTACTGCAAGTTTATGGCATTGTCTCTTCTACATTTTTCAGGTCCAAAGTGTGATTCCTTGCCAAGTCGATTTATGCATCACAGAAAACCTTAGCATCCCTCTCTCTAACCAGAAATCTGTATTATGGAGCAATGCTATAAGTGCTCTTCTTTGGCATACTTGTTAGAAAGAAATCATCGAACATTTACAGGTTTTTCAAAGACTACAACCAACATTTGGGAAGGACATTCATAGTCATTGCTTCTATTTGGTCTACAAAATCTAATCTTTTTTGTACTTACGATTCATCTACTATATCTCTTAATTGGAGTGCTTTTATAGGCACTTTTTTTGGGTGTATGTTTCTCACATACATCAATGAAGTCTTTTTTTTAAAAAAAAAATATAAAAAAAAATTTGTCAAACATGATCAATGAAAATGAGAGTGATTTTAACAATGGCAAAATCTTTTATCATGCCAAAATCACACCCAAACACACCCTTAAAAGTGATATAATGCTCTCCTAGGACATGTGCTTCCAAAGTTTATTTTTATGTTGATGTTGATGGAATCTTCTATTAACATTTTTGTCATCCATTTTTTATCTATATATTTTCATCCATTTTCTTTATTTCTCAATTTTATTTTATTTAAAAAATAAGTTGATACTTTTATTCATTGATAAATGACTATATTAAATTAACTATATTTTTATATTGTATTGTTTTAGATATAAATAAATTTTAGTGGACTGTATAACGTGTTTTAACTTATTTTTAATTAAGTATACTATATGCATTGTTAGGGGACTTATCCCTAACTTATTAATTAGCTTAAATTTTTGGGTTTATTGGTGGTTTAATCATGTTTTACATGATATCAGAGCAAGAAGGTTCTGTGTTAAAACCCTGGATTGTCATTTCTTCCCCATTTGCTATTCATTTTCACTTGTTGGGTCTTGAGCAATTTTCCAAGCCCACAAATTAGGCGAGTGTTCAATCTAACCTATTAAGTTAAACTTTTGAGTTTATTTTGAAATGAAACTTTGATTTATAACTCATCCCTCAATATCTGATGTTCAAATCCCCAGCACCTCCACATTTTTTTTTATTAAAAAGAAACCAAAACTATGATTAAGTTTAACACTCATCTAACAAAATCGATATTAATTCGAGTGCTTTATCCCAAATAAGAAAACATAAATAATAAATAATTTAAGTGACGATCATGAAGAAGAAGTAGTAGACTATAAATGACATGCATGAACGTTTCCGGGAAATGAGAAGGTTTTGGCATTGGAAATGAAAGGTGAAGTAAAACAAATATAGGGTTTGAAGTTTGAATTGAATTGAATTTATAACAAAAGCCCATTCGGATTCTGTTTATGTGCTCTGCATGCCCTGCCTACATATACATATATCTCTTATTTTCTTGCTCTGTATTATATTCTCTTATCTTCTATCCTTCATTGTTGACAACGCAGAAGAAGCCATGGCAATGGTWAGTATATTTTCGAGGAAGAATGATGATGTCCCAAAATCCATTAGATATGCCATTGAAGTTGTCCAATCAATGTCTCCTCCCCTGGATGAAATTGTTGTATTCAATGCCTGTCGTCATTTCGTACTGAACGAACCGGATGCCAAAATGKTTACTTTGATGAATACGGAATTCCAAAAAAAGTGGCTGTTAAAAAAAATCCCAGCTAATAAGGTTGTATAGTTTCTAGTTCCAGTTTTATTTTTTATTTTTTTTMTTATTTTTTTAAATCCTCCATTTATGCATATATATATAGAACTGATCATATAATTTTGGTACGATTTCTGTAGCTGGTTTAGGGTCTCTGATGCGGAGGCTAAAATCTGAAGAAGCAGTGGCTGGGTTGGCTTGTAGGGAAGGAGATTGGAGATTGGCCACGCCATTTTTCAGTGCTCTCTCTCTCTTAAATTGGCTTCCTTTTTTTTGTTTTTACATTTCAATTTCAGTTCACAGTTTTTTCTTTTTTTTGTTCTTCACATTCACCGACAGTTGTTAGCTTTGGCTTATCAATGTAATTMACTTGTTTGGTGTTCTCTCTCAAAAAATTATTGGATTGCACAATATATGGTTGTTCTTTAATAGCCTAAGGGCTTCCTTTCTCTTGTTGTCTTTCTTATCTCGGGTATCATGTTAGGTT